GAAGGTCCCAGCCCTGAATCTGGAAGCCATGAGATCCTGCCAGGTGCCAAGCAGGAGTGGAATGAGGGAAAAGAGCAGCCGCCCTCACTCAGGGCCTGGGAAAGGTTAGACACAAGGACGACAGGCCTTGTGCCCTTTTCCAGGATTACCTCTAACTTAACAAGACAGGTCTCTATCCAGAGGCTCTAGCTGGAGGACTCGTTACACTTGACCTCATAGTGACCTCTGGGAAGCACTGATAGGCAGAGGGGCAGAGGCAGGGTTCCGGTGCAGCGCACTCAGGCTGATCCAGGACCCCTGCTCTTGCCCTTCATCCTTTAGGGCTGCTATCATTACACCCCTATCCTAAGGAGCTCAGCGGTAGGTGGGTCTGCATCCCTCATTTCAAGTGTACAGGCCAGCCTCCAGTCCAGGGTTCTACCCTTGTTCTCTTTTCAGGAGGCACAGTACCTGTCATCCACTATTTGTGGCAGGCACAGGGCCGAGCCTTTCACGTGATGCTCTCACCGTGGCCTGTGCACATGGGAAAAGCTAAGACACAGTGGCAGCAGAGGGGGGGGGGTGTGATGGACATGGCATGGATCCTACAGGCTGCTCCCACCACAGGCTGCACTCCAGGCACCTCTGTGAGGCCTGGAATCCGGGAGGGGCTATATCTGGAGAAGCAGCCTGCAATGGGTGAATGGCATCTGAGGTGAGGACTGGGATCCTGTGGTCTTACTGGTACCAAACCTGGATGAGCGGGCATGTCAGGATTTATTCTAGGACTCTCAGTGGGAGAGAAGGGAGATGCGGCTGACCAGTAGCCTTTGAGTCTAGACTAAGGTAGCTTGGATCCTGGCTGGTGACAGAGAAGTTAGAAAGGCAAGCTAGTGCCCCGGCCTCCAGCTGCAGAAAGCTGGTTCTCCCTTCCTGCCCACATCCTGTCCCCAGGAGCATAACAGCAACCACACACCCATGGTTGGTAGGGGAAGGACATACTGGTCACCTGCTTCTGTACTGGGGCCCAGGTATTGGAATTTGGATTCTGTGCATTTCTGGAGGGAGAAGGGAGGGAGATCCAGACCACGCAGCATTAGGCAGTCTCAGAAGGTACCTAGCTTGTTGATTGATGTATTGGGGAGGGGCTCAGTAGGCTTGGAGTCTTCCTGAAAGGCCAGCTACTGCTGAGCCATTACAAGGCTGTGCTTTGGGTGTAAGAGTTACCAGCCCATCCATCCCGCTGTGACTCTTGCTTGGTGTCATTCCACAAATCAATTGCTTCTCAAGGACGATGTTGGATCTCTTCAATCTAGACTTTGTCTCTGGTTCCTGTAAGAATTCCTCAGTGTTCCCTTCCATCCCCCACTGCCTTGGTCCTCTACTGTCTGCAGGACCAAAGTCAATTACATATGACATGCTCTTTATTTTGACCCTGTTTTTTCTGTCCAGGATTTTTTTTTGCTTCTTGCTTGTATTTGTTCTTGTGTGTCAGAGAGTTTGCTAGCTTTCATTCTTGTTTATGGTTCTTCCTTCATAAAATATCTAAATTATTACTACATAGGCCATATCCTCCCCGTGGATTTGATACTTTAAGTTTTCTTTCACGGGTTGGCTTTTTGTTGTTGTTGTTTTGAGACAGGGTGTAATTCTGTAGACCAGACTGGCCTCCAACTCACAGAGACCCACCTGTTTCTGCCTACAGAGTGCTAGGGTTAAAGGTGAGAGCCACATCTTTTCTCTTTCATAGTCTTGGTTTCTTTTGCATTTTGAAATCTGGTTTGCAGCTCATCTGAAATAGGAGTTGAGGTCCTGGGGGTCCTGGCATGGCTTCTGAGTACCAGAATCTCTTAGGTAACAGCTATCATTGAAGAATTCCCAGGTTCTTGTCCTTTGGGCATGGCCACTGAGTGTCTGAATCTCTAAGGTGACAGCTATCATTGACTTCCCAGTCAGGTTTTGAGACCCCTGAAGTAGACTCCAGGACTGCAGGGAGCAAAGATGGTGGCAGATGGCTCAGAGTTCCCCATGGCCCAGAAGACTAGGTAACTGGTGAACATTGCCTAAGAGTAAGAGGAACATGGTACAATGTTGCATGCCTGTGATACAGCACTTAGAAACTAGAAGCGGAAGGATCAAGAATTCAAGATTATATTTGGCTATGTAGCAAACTTAAGGCCAGCCTGGCCTACAATTGCCCTGTCTCAAAACAAAACAAAATTGTAAGGCTGGGTTTTAGGAGGCCAGGAAGAAGCCCAGTACTGCTGCAATGGGCAGTCTCTGCTGCTCTGTTCCGTGTGCTTGGCTGCACCCCAGAACAGTGTGTGGAGCACTGCCTGGGAGCTCGTAGATACATCCAGCAGGGTCTGGAGCCACCACCTGGGCATGTGTACACAGAGGCCGGGGTGGGTCAGGAGATATGTGGGTTGGGATTAAATGGTTTTAATTAAAGTGACTGGATCAGGGTGGGAGTGAACGGGAAGGAAGAGGCAGCGTTGAGTCTGACTGCTGGGACCCTAAGGGGCTGTCCGTTCAAGTCCTGTTGATGAGTATCCTGTAGTAGTTTACACGGGACAGTTTCTGCACCCTGCCCTGTCCCCAATAAAGGACAATCGTAAGGAAATGCAGCATTATTGATCTTTAATTTCCCCTCTTGGCTAGCAACAGATGACTCAAGGATCAATTCGATAGAGCCAACCGAGAGGGATAGGAAATTGCTGGATCCAGCCTCTACACTGGCCCCTTCCCCCTGCACTCTAGTGCAGTGGTTCTCAGCCTTCTTAATGCTGTGACTCTTTAATACAGGTCCTCATATTGTGGCGACCCCTAACCATAAAATAATTTTTACTGCTACTTCGGAACTGTAATTTTTGTTCCTGTTAGGAATTGTAATGTAAACGTTTTCTTAGAGATAGAGGTTTGTCAAAGGGGTCAGGACCCACAGTTTGAGAACCAGTGCTCTGGTGGCTTCGCAAAGAGCAAGGTCTTTACTGCATCCCTTGGCATTCTCCAAGGACTGTGCCACCCTCTGTCATCCCTGATAAAGCTGAAAGCCTTTTCCCCTATTTGAGCAGTAGCTTCTCATCTGAGAAGTGGAATTCACCAGGCTGTCCGGAACACCAGGCTTTCAGTCATTTTCCAAATTCCCAGACAGCACACACAAGCTCCTCAAGGGGCCTAGGGTAGCCTTGGTATTCACATCCATGGCCACTTGGAGAGCACAGGGCTTAGCGGTTCAGCAGTGGTTGACATCTCTAGGCCATGTGTCGTGTGTGTGTGTGTGTGTGTGTGTGTGTGTGTGTGTGTGTGTGTGTGTATGTATGGCTCAGTCTGGTCAGTGATACATTAGTAGGTTTGAATTGGCCCAGTGGGAACATTCATACTACAAAGAAACGCTACAAGTCAGGTTGCCCTGGCCCTGGGCTATTTTGCCTGCCTATAGCTAGACAGTCTCAGCCTCAGACTTCCCCTGCAGGACTCCTCCTCCCTCCTCTCTGTCCTGAGAATGCCTCTGGCTCCACAGATCTGCTGGACTTGAGGCTGGAGCAGGCACAAATGAAAAGAAAGATTCAGATTTGGCAGCTGCCCAGGTGGCCCTGGGATCAGAGGAGCTTCCCCTGGGATGCACCACAATATCTGAGACAGCCTGCAGGAATGTTGAAGGAAGGGCTGAGGAAAGGGCCCTGGGACAGGAACCCTTCGTGTGTCCTCAGCTGATACAAGGCAGGCCTGGCAGGAGGGCCAGCTGTGTTGAGACTGGGGAGCAGCAGGGTGGCCTCAGGACAGTCAGGAAGGGGCTGGTATCCCAAAATATCCAATATGAACCCAGCACGGAACATGAGGAACCTTGAGAACTGGGAGTGCTCAGGCAGGTACCAAGGCTGCTGGGAGAACTTCAGCAAACATAGGCCTGGGTTAGGCCCTGAGTCAGTACAGATAGTTACTGGGGGTCAGCGCTGGTGGTGTGACTGTCAGCAGGGCTCTAGGCTCAGGGATGGTGTTGTCACACCTTGACAGAAATGTGTTGTGTTCCACTGTGTCCCACTGGGGACCTTGAGGATGGAGGACGGTTAGGACCTGGGCCAGCTTTCTAACGTGAGCTGGTCTAGTTACAGACTGCTTCAGTACCCTTCAGTGCAGTTTCCACTAGAGAGGGCCTAAGATGGTTACCCTCCCCTCCCCACCCCCAGAAGATACCAGTTGGGAGAGTCAGGATTCTTGAAAGGCAATAACTCTCCAGGGGCTCCCTGGGCCTGATTGGGCCTAGTTGAGCTTGGTTGGGCCTGGTTGAGCCTGATTGGGCCTAGTTGAGCCTGATTGGGCCAGGTTGGGCCTGATTGGGCCTGGTTGAGCCTGGTTGGGCCTGGTTGTGTCTGGTTGGGCCTGGCTGGACAGTAAGCCTGGTGTGGCTCCTTGAAAGCTAGAGCCTAGGGGCAGAAGCTGTTGGTCCTGGGGTTACTGTGGACCCCTGTAGAATGTTTCTGTAAACTGTAAACCATGGGCATAGAGGGACCCAGAGGTGGCACATACAGGCTATGGCCATTCGGTTGGAGATACGCATTCTGAACAGCTAGTTGGCAAATGGCTTGTGCAAAGCTGGGACTCCCAAGGACTTAGCTGCAGATGTCTCTGCCTCACCTTAGGGGCAATGGTTACTGCAGACTTGGGCTTCCCTCTCCTAGCCTCGGTATCAGCCTCCTAGTTGGGCGGAAGGACTTCTACACACAGCTGCACGGCTGCAGCCGTGTCTACTCTGGCCCCACACTGAAGCGCTGGCAATGTCACAGAAGAAAACTTAAGGGTTCTGTATTTCAGCCCCATCTTACTCTTGGCCAATTTCAAGTGGAGAAGGCCATTCTCCCAAGGCCTGCAGTGCCGCTCATCCCTCTGATCCTGCAGGGGGAAGGCGGAAACGTGTGTCTACATGCAGGTACAACCTGGGGCTCCATGAAGGTTCAGAACTGAAGAGGATGGATTGGGGGTGGGGATGGGGGTCTCTTGAATCTTGCTTGGAGAATAACAGGCTATTGGGAGAGTCCTGCCTACACTGAGTTTTGCAAGCTCAGGGGGGTAGAGCAGGAGTTTGGGCTTGGCTGGGACCTGCTACAGAGAGAGCAAGACTTCCAGTTTCCAGGGGTCTCTGCTATTCCTGTGATGTGACGTTGTGACTCTAGGGTAGCCTTTCCAAATCTGTTACTTCTTTCTCAAGGGACTGTGGATAAGTGCTGAAATGAGCCATTGGTTGACATCTGGGACCCAATGGTATTACAGGCTGAGTGGAGAAACTGAGGCCCAGGAAAAAAGGCTTTCTTGCCACAGTCCTCCAGTGAGCCCTCACTGAGCACCTGTTCTAAAGCAGCGTTCCCTGCATCAGCTAGGCAGAGAGACAGGTGGGGAGAGGCGTGGGAGGAGAGCGGGAGGTGGATCCCTCAGAGAAGGGAAGCAGTCACAGTGCCTGCCCTGCCTGGCTGTGCAGCCGGCTGGCAGGAGCTCTCAGAGCAGCGGGTCTGGCTTGGACCCAGCTTTGTCACCTCTGAGGGTAAGAGTGCTTACTTGCTAGAATTGGCGGATAGAACCATGCGGCTCCCAGGTCCCTCCAGAAAGGAACTCCAGGAGTGTCTGAGGTGACTATAGTGGTGTCTCTCAGGTGGGCATGGTGGTTCCCTGAGGAGATGGAGCAAAGTGAGCTGGCCTGGGAGGCTGGCTCAATGTGAGAAGTTGTGTGGGATTTGGAAAGTGCTGTTGGGAGAGAACCTTCCTGGAGGAAGGGTCTCATGGGACTGATAATGAGTGCAGGGACCCAGAGGACTGGCCAGGCTGCCACAGAAAACTTGAAAGCTGTATGAGAGGAGCCAATAGAAGCATCATTTTGCCTTGACTTTAACTTGCTCCCATAGATTAAACATCTTCAGCAGCTACTCTGAGCTGGGAAAGTGGTCAATGCAGTACCTGGATCGAGGAAAATACATGTTGGGTTGTGAGGACAGGCTTTTTCAGGAGTCCTCGTCTATCTGCCATCCCTCCCATGTCTGTCCTGAAGAGACTAGAGGAGGAACTGCTTCTCTGAGAAGGGTTGGGTGAAGATCTTGACAAGAATTCTTTGGAACCAGTGAGCCTTTCAGGCCTGTGTTCTTACTGACCGCCACAGACGGGGCAAGACGGGAGTCCATTCTCAGGCAGATACCTGTTCCGTAAGTGAGGCGGAATCTGAAGTGGCCAGGGTGGTTCAGCTGCTCACAGCATTCTCTCTTCGCAGGTCCCTAACGTTGAGCGGAGACAGGCCGGATCCCCCGGAGTAGTCATGATTTCAGGAGATACGGAGTCATCTGTGAGAAAACCTTCAGAACACTCTCTCTGGGAACGCTCGTGGCTCTTGTGAGGAAAGGGCTGCGAGGCTTGCGTGGGCGGACGGCTGGGCTGCAGCTATGGACCGAGAGCTGGCCCAGACCCGCATCCTTGCTGAGCCTGCCCAAGCGTGGCTGCTCCCACCATGGGCTCCTCAGTGTACATCACGGTGGAGCTGGCCATTGCTGTGCTGGCCGTCCTCGGCAACGTGCTCGTGTGCTGGGCCGTGTGGATCAACAGCAACCTGCAGAATGTCACCAACTACTTTGTGGTATCACTGGCGGCAGCTGATATTGCAGTGGGTGTGCTCGCCATCCCCTTCGCCATCACCATCAGCACCGGCTTCTGTGCCGCCTGCCATGGCTGCCTCTTCTTTGCCTGCTTCGTCCTGGTCCTCACTCAGAGTTCCATCTTCAGCCTCTTGGCCATTGCCATTGACCGCTACATTGCCATCCGCATCCCACTCCGGTGAGCCAGGGCTTGCATCTGTGCTTAAGGCTTGATTTGTGGACACAAAGGATGGGGCTCTGGGACTTGGGGGTGGCCATGCCTGTCTGCCTTATCCCGATAGGTACAGGGTACCCTGGGACTCCCCAGGTCACATGTTGAAGCAGTCCATAGGCAGCTGTGTTTGGCTACTGTAAGATGAGGGTGGTCTGGCTCTGATACTATTTGCTGCTGGGTGTGAGCTACTCTTCATGCCTCTAAGTATGATCTGAGGTGGGTGGGGAGCCATGGGAAACCACAGGACCTCAGCTAGGAACCCGCCTCTGCTACCAACCAGCCTTTCCCCAGTGTGTACATTAGGAGAGTGACCCAGAGAAGGGAAGTGACTTGGCCAAATGCCACAGTGAGTCATTTGGACTTCTATGCGAATGACATTGCTCCTAAGTCTGAGAGGACTCTCTGCCTGCTGTAGGGGCTGGCTACGCAAAGGGGTTTTTATGGTGATTCTTTCGTGAAGTGACTTCAGCCAAGTATTGTGTAATGAAGATCTTCCCGGAGGTCTCCTCCCAGCCACCCTGTAGATAACCCAGACAGTGCAATACTACTCTCCCAGGGACTGCACCTCTGTACTTTCTACCAGAGCTAGGTCCTGGGGTGGCTGGGGTGGCTGCCGGACTTAAGGAAGGACTCCATAATGGGGGGTTGATTAGAATGTACAGTGAGGTTTTCTATTCAAGTCGAGTCCCAGCCCGCAAAGGAAGCATCAATAACTCTACTGTGGGCTAAGGCAGCCTGCGGGACCAGGCTCCGTGATCAGTGAACAGTCAGGGTCAGATGCAAGAGAAGAGGTCATTTCCTTCCCCGCATCTTCTGGATAGAAAAGGGAGCTTCTGAGAAGGCACTAGTATAGTGGCATCTTGTTCCACCAGTAGACTTGAGGTAATGGCCTTAGGGTGTGGCTTCAGTGTGCAGACAGACATGACCCCTTATAAGGAAGAGGAGGGGCTGGCTTGAGCTCTCTTGGGTTGTGGTCAGAGCATCCTGGAGGCAGAGGCTGCACCTCCAGAATGTCACTATAGGCTAGCTCTCTCACAGCCAACCAAAGAGTCGATAGCAGAGCCTGGGAAGAAGTGTGGCCTGCCATCACTGCAATGTCAGCCTTAGAGGACCTGTCTCGAGTGACTCCAGGTCCTAGATGGTACATCACACAGCCATTGCTATAATCTGAGCCCTGAGGGAGAGGTGAACACCCACACTAAGCTTCTCAGAACAATGGAGCCTGTGCCTTGTGTTGCCTTAAAGGCTTTGTCAGAAGTCTTTAAGGGACTCAGCCAGGCGTGGTAGCATGCTTGTGTCCTGGAACTTGGCAAAGGCTCGAGCCTGAGGATGATGAGTTGCAGGCCGGCCAGGAGTCTGCACAAAGACCCCTGTTCAAAGGAAAGAAAAATAATCAAAAACAAAGCGGGAGGGACTTCTGGCCAGCTCTAAGAAGGGACAGGGTTAAAGGTCGCCTGTGGGGACAGCCAGCCCCATTGCCTCCACCCCATGCTTCTGAAGTAGATCAAGGTCTAGGTTCCTGCAGTGACAGATTAGAACACAGAGGACTGGGAGAGTGTGTGTGTATATGTGGGTCCCCGGAGGGTCAATGGCATCCACCCTGGGAGTCTCCCAGTGGTCATTGGCATCTGCCCTGGGAGACAGGCCCAGCCATGCGGTATTGGATCACCAAGAGACAGCAGGAGTTTAACATTCTCTTTCTCCCAACTCCGAGCAGCAGCATATTAGGAAAGATCACAGTGGCTCTTCTCAGTTTAAAGGGTCCAGCTTGCTTTCTTCTCCTTGGCCTCTCCCCGTCTCTGTCTTCTCGGTATCAAGAAACTCCATCCCTGAAGTAGGATGGGATGAGTTGCGTTCTTATAGAAAGCTAGCTGCCCTATGCTGGGCCTGTTTGGGTGTGACGAGGAGACAAGTTTCTGTGTTGTCTGTCGGGCTGAGCTCACAAAGGTCTGTGGCTTCAGTGAGTGGGTAGGAGTGATGGGGGTGGGCAGGGGAATGGGGGAAGGATGCAGTTCTTTTGTGAAATGGAGGCTTGGAGCCAACAGCCTATCCCCACTCTAGTTGCATCCCTGACCCCCAGGACCTCCTGACCTCAGTTCCGCTTGGACCTTGGGCTATCTGAGCTCTGAGTGGGGCTTTGGAAAGCACAGTGTAGTCTCTGCAAGGAGCCGATAGATCTGAAGATGCCCACTAAGGATATTTATTCATCTTGCCTATGGGCAGTTTTACAGCTGCCATGGAGTGCTAGTGCGGCTTATCCTTTGGTCATCCTGGTCCAGTATTTCAGCCAGAGCAGATGTCATGACCCTTGTGAGAGACCAGAGCCACGAAGGACTTCTCTGTGTCTCCCAATCTAGATGGACTCTAGAGCCCGCCACTGTGTTCCTGGCTATTGAGCCCCTTCTCTTTCCTGTCTCCTGAAGTTTCTGGTCACTGAGAATGTGGAAGTATCTGTATCGGGGCTCCTGAGAGCAAGCCAGGGTAATGTGGAGATAGAGGACACCAGGGACCAGGCATGAACGGGGTCTAGAGGGGAACAGGTGGCCAGGCATGAGGGGGATCTGGACGGGGCTAGGCACCCTGGCTAGCTTTGGAGGTACTCTAGCTTTGATGGTCACTTTCTCCCCTTCACAACTAGGAATTCAGCCTCTTCTAAGGCACTTCCTGTGCTATTGGCAAGGTCCACAGGCTCTAGTCTTTGATGGAGGCATAGTCCCAGGCTTGCACCAGGAATTCTTTTGTTGTTTTAAAGAATTCGGCTTCAGAGTAATCAGTCCCCTCCTTCCTGAGTGTAGGGACCCTGTTAAATTAAGGCAGGGCCTGCTGGGTGATAAAGAAAATGGGTCAAAGGCAGAGACGAAGCTCTGTGTCTGCAAGGAATGAAAATCCTTGTGTAAGAGACCAGGCTCCCTTTGCTAGGGACCCTTTGCTCCACTGTCTGCAAGTCTCACATTGTCCCCTGGTGCTCTCAAAGAACAGGCCAAAATACACACAGGAAATCAGTCGGTGCAAGACCTGAAGTCCTACAAAATGCTCTTCTCTATTTCCAAAAGGGCATGAGGGCCAGGCCTATACACAGTGGTAGAGCATGCCTGAAGTCTTAAGCTGTATCCCTGTATCCACAAAAGGGAAAGAAAAGGGCTTTTCATTTAGCTGTAAGCCCCTGCTGGACTAGAGGCATGGCTCAGTGGTATTGTACTTAACATATTCCAAACCCTGGATTCCATTCTTCCCTCCCCAAGGATGCTGGTGAGGGTGCAGAATTGGGAGGCAGTGTGCCCTGGAGGAAGTCTTGCCATATTGGTGTCACAGGATGTGTGTGGTCTTGATAGAGTGAAGTGGGAAGAAGGTGTCTGGAGGGTAAACCCTGGCAAAGGTCCCAGGGAAGGAGTGAGTGAGTGAGCATGTGGGTGTGGCCCCCTCTGGGCTGGAGAGTGGTGGCCTGACTGCTGAGTGGCAGGTGTGGTGTCAGGCTGATTTAGGCTGGTTTCTGTCTATGGAGGGATTTTGAGTTTCTTCCTAGGGCCAGATACTCTTCAATTCTTAGGTCATTGGGCCCTTAAGGTGACTTAGAAAGTCCCACCCTCTCTTCAGTGTTGCAAATACTCATGAAAATTCCACCTGGAATTGTGGGCATGTTCTGGAGCCCCCAGTATGGGTAATCAGGATTCTCAGGGAAGGGCAACTTCTAAAGGCTGGAGGATATAGGAATGCAGAGGCCACTTGAATATAGGGGCTGCTGGAGACTCCAGCACCCACATCCTGTATCTCTGAGGCTCCCTGGAATGACTCCATGTCATGCAGCCTGGTCATCCTTCTAGCTGCACAGAATGTATTTCCCCAGAAGGCCTAGATGAGACTGTGTTAGTCACAGACACGGGCCAGGGTGTGCCCTTAGGACAGCTATGGTTTGTTGGTGATTCCATTTGGGCCCTGATGCTGTCCTAGACCTCAGACTCCAACCCCATGTCCTTGAATTCTTGATTCTCCTGCCTCTTTTTCCAAGCTCTGGAAATATGAGCATTACTCCTATTTGGTGTGTGTGTGTGTGTGTGTGTGTGTGTGTGTGTGTGCGTTGAAATAATACCTGCATGTGTTTAAGCATTCAAGAACAAAGGCCATATAACCAATGTGTCCCCCAAGCTCCTCAGTACTTTGCCAACACTGGAAAGTCCATCTTACATACTGAGTTCTGTCCCCCAAAGGGGCTTTCTTTCTAGAATGTAGTAGAAGACTTCCCCTTATGGGTTCACTGTCTGTAAAAGTAAACAGGGATTTCCATGGTGTGTTCCCAGAAGCTATCTGTCATCTCCAACAACAACTTCCTAACTCAGAAATCACTTATTCAGTTGGATCCCTTTTCTAAGACTCCCTGGACCGGGACAAGAAGGCCTGTTCTGAGGACAGTTGGAAAACCACCAAGGTGGGAGACCCTCTACCACCTCTGGATGCTCATCAGTATCCTAGACAGCCCATTTCTCTGAACAGCAGCTGAATAGCTCTGATCCACCCTGAACCATAGAGTGGCTCCCTGGGGTTTCCATCCACTAAATTCAGCATCTTGCCTTTATGGGGCAGTGATGATAGGTCTAGAATTCTTAGTTTCATTTTATAAATGAGGAAGTCGAGGCCCAGAGAGGTAAAGTGACACAGCATTCCTTGTTTACAGGAATGTACCAGGACTAGGACCCAGGAAGGGTATGCTTGTCCCAGGAAAGATGTGAACAGTAACATAGCTTCCCCTCCCATGAGGATCAGGTAAAGCACTGTTGAGGGGTACCTGGCACAGAGTAAGTATGTAAGTATTAGGTGGGCTTGGGGCTCTAGGTCTTCATGCTTGGGCCTCCAGGAAATCACACATGATGCTTGTTCTGAGGTGCTTAGTGACTATAGTAAGTCTGTGACCCTCCTGCACAAGCCCTGTCGCAGGTGACCAAAGCCCCGCTCAGTGGGCCTGGGAAGCTCCCAAGAATGTGCCTGCCAGTTACTGTTTGGATTCTGAATTGATAGGGCTGGAGTGGTAGCTCCGTGGTAAAATGCTTGCCTGTCATATTTGTGTCCCTGGATTCCATCCCCACCTCCAAGGGGGAAGAAACTAAAAGATTCTGAGAAATTCACATGGGTTTGAGCTGCCCCTGGGCCTTAGGTTGTTCACAGCAAGTCCCTGCCTCTCTTTGGGTCTCAGTTCCAGTTTCCTCAGGCCTGAAACAGAGGAACAGATTAGATAAGTAGTCAGAAATACTAGGGTTTGTTTGTTTGGCAACATTTAAAATGGGAGATTTTTTTTTTTTTTTTTTTGCCTCAAAAAAAATAAAATAAAAATCAACCATCAAGTCCTTCTTGAGATCTAGCAACAGTGGCTACACATTTTCTGTCTTTCTTTCCTTTCTTCTTCCTTTCTTTCTCTTTTTATGATGCTTGAACTTAGGGCCTCACACATGTGAGGTAAGTTCAACGCTGCTCATACATATTGCATGGCAATAAAGACAAGGTAAACACATACCAGCCTTCCTCCCATGCCTGTTATCAGCAGGTACCTGTGTCTGCCACCCAAAGGCAATAGTCTTTTTGTAGCTGCTTTAAGTCTAGCATCGATAAGTGTGTATGTTTTCCTTGTTAACTACACGTAGGCCCCTGTCCCGCAGCTGGCGATGCAGGGATAAATGCAGGAGAATCCTACTCCAAGTGTGCTCCCAGCCTCAGATGAGACAGGAAACTTCTCCAAGATGCCCAGCCTGAACTTGAAGAGTGGAAGTTCCACTGGGCAGTGGGGAGGGTAGTCTTGCTTTGCCAGAGTTGAAACTTAAGTTAAACTTAAGTTCATCCCTCAGATACTACCAAAGCTTTTTTTTTTTTTTTTGTTCCCCAAGGAGATTTAAAATATATATATATTTTTTACTAAAGTAATGATGCATTTCCAGTGAAGCTGAGTTTACTCTTTGGTTGACCGATCAAGCCCTGCCCCACCCCCACCCTGGGACTGGCAATCAGCATAAGAATACTCTCATTTGGCCCTCTGGCAGATCACTGTCTTATTTCACACCCCGTTCAGTGCCTCTTGATTATTCTGATTGCCAGGAAAATGTCTCATTTCCACCCAGAGGATTGTGGGTGTGTTTGAAGTGGGGATGCTATCTCATTTGGCCTGGGACTGCCACTCCTCCTCCAAGCCCTCAGAGCCTTTCCTTGAGGTCTGTGGAGAGTCAAGTCAAATAGGGAGGAGCAAGCATGGAGTGAGTTAGTACAAGCGGCTTAGACCGTCTACAGGTCTATCTTTGCTGGTTCCGTCCCCACCCTGGACCTGTCCTACTCTATATAATGTGAACTAAGGTTAACCAACATGGAAGTGGCCCTCAGCCCCCTCAGATCACCTATTTCTCTCAAACCAAACTCGGATTTTAAGTCTGAGGACCGTACTTGACTAATGACACCTGAACATTTGTGTGATAGTTTCCATGTCCTATATGCCCACTTCTCATTCCCTCCCTGCAACTGTGAGGAAGACGAGGCTCAGTTAGAAGAGTACACTACTGAGGCTAGGAGGAAGAAATGCTTTTAAAGTCAAGACCCTAGAAGTGAAACACACAGGGACCATGTGGGCTTCGGTGGGCTTCTTAGCTTGCGGCCCTGCTAGACCTTTGCTCATCAAGCCTCTAATGCCAGTTCTCTCTCCTCAGGTACAATGGCTTGGTGACAGGTATGAGGGCGAAGGGCATCATTGCAATTTGTTGGGTGCTGTCATTTGCCATCGGCCTGACCCCCATGCTGGGCTGGAACAATTGCAGTTACCTTAAGGAGAGCAAGAACTACACGAAGACCTGTGGTGAGGGCCAGGTGGCCTGTCTCTTCGAGGATGTGGTGCCCATGAACTACATGGTGTACTACAACTTCTTTGCTTTTGTGTTGCTGCCCCTGCTGCTCATGCTGGGCATCTACCTGCGGATTTTTCTGGCGGCCCGGAGACAGCTGAAGCAGATGGGAAGCCAGCCCCTGCCAGGGGAGCGGACTCGGTCCACACTGCAGAAGGAGGTCCATGCTGCCAAGTCCTTGGCCATCATCGTGGGGCTCTTTGCCCTCTGCTGGTTGCCACTACACATCATCAACTGCTTCACCTTCTTCTGCCACTCATGCCAACATGCCCCTCCGTGGCTCATGTACCTGGCCATCATCCTCTCCCACAGCAATTCTGTCGTCAACCCCTTCATCTATGCCTACAGGATCCGGGAGTTCCGCCAGACCTTCCGGAAGATCATCCGTACCCATGTCCTGAGGCGGCAGGAACCCTTCAAGGCAGGGGGTTCCAGTGCCTGGGCCTTGGCATCTCACAGCACTGAGGGAGAGCAGGTCAGCCTCCGCCTCAACGGCCACTCCCTGGGGGTATGGGCCAATGGCAGTGGCCCCCATTCTGGACGGCGGCCCAATGGCTACACCCTGGGGCTGGTGAGTGGAGGGAGCTCCCAAGGGTCTCCTGGGGATGTGGAGCACCCGGAAGGAGACCCAGAGCGCCCTGGCCTCGGGCATCAACTGGCTGAGGGCAGAGTAGGGACATCCTCATGGTCTGCAGAGTTTGCCCCTTCCTGAGGGTAAGAAATCTTTATCTTTTTGGTTGGCTGGACCAATCTCACTGAGAGAAGACAAGGAAGACCGTGCCAGGAAGCCCACTGGGCATCTGGTTCCCACTTTGGACTGAGTAGAGGGAACATCAGCCTGCAGCAGCATGAAGCCCCGTAAGAAAGGCCTGGGGTGGAAGAAGGAGATGCTCTGTGCCTTGGGCCCTGTGCTAGGCTGGAGTTACAGTAGCATCAGCATCTTCGAAGGCGGAGCCCAGTTCCTCCAATCCAGAAGCATCAGAAAGCTCTGTCTTGTCTCTATAGAGCAGCTGTGGCTTAGCTGCCTGGCCCAATGCTGGGGTATGGCTTCTCCAGGTCTCCCACCATAGTACACTACTCTCCCCAGACTGTCGAAGGCTCAGGGAGCTGCTGGCCTGGAAGTGGCACTTGACTACTTTTTTTTTTTTCCAGAAGATAAAAATGTGAGGAAACTCTTTCTATTTTATTGACAATCCCCCCCCCCCCGCCCCCTGACTGCTGGGTCTGTCATTGATCCTGCTCTTGTTCCAAGGAGTTGCAGGCAGCCCTCTCACACTGCCGCAAGCTGCCATGCACTTAGTCATAGGGCCACCTCGAGGCAACAAAGCTGGGCTTGAAGACAGGAACTGTGGAGGGAGTAGTGCCAGAGTGTGGGCTCTCAAGTCCCATGAGAGAGGTTAGAACTGTCAAGCCCTGGACTTGAGCCTGGGTAGCTCAGAGCTGTCCCATCAGAGGCCCTGTCTACTGCCTTTCCTTCTGGAGGGACTGACTTTTTTGTTTGTTTGTTTGTATGTGTGTGTGTGTGTGTGTGTGTGTGTGTGTCTTTTCTGGGATAAAATAAAATGAGCCACACATGTGTTTTAAATTTGTCCACAAAGAATGATGTCTGAGTTCTTTTCTCAATTCCATAGCCTGGTCTGATGCATACACATGTGATTATGTGTGAGAGAATTTGTGTATGTACAGACAGACAAAAATGACATTGCTTACCCTGGGGACTTTCCAGGCTCCTGTTCTCTAAGGGGACAGGCTGCCCGGCTACAGCAGAATCTAAGTGCCCATGTGTTAGGGTGGAGTTGGGTGGCATGGGGTGGCAAACTTACATTTCCTGTGGGAGACACAGCCATTCCTCACAGGTGCCATGGAAGGTCATTGACACTTCAGGGTCATTGAACCCTCCTGTTCCCTTGTTTCCTTCCTCACATCCTACCAGAAGATCTGTCTGTAAATCATCTCAGAGCTGTGTCCATCACTCCTACCCTTGTTCTAGTCCTTAACCAAGAGGCTACAGAGGTCCCAGAAACAGATCTGGGCTGAGGCAAAGCTGCCTTCCCTTCCTTCCAACAAAGAAACCTATGAGACACTGTCCCTTGCTCCAGTCTTGGCCTCTGAGTCCCTGCCTACAGAGATGCTGCTCTGTCACCTGGTGGATGGTGATGACAGCTTGGGATGGATGGGCAGGGAGCCATGACAGGGCCCCGAGGGCCAGGCTACTATTTCTTGGGCTATGATTCAGAAAAGGTGTGTTAGAGCTTCAAGGATGATGTTCACACAGCCCTAGGAGCCTTGTTTCACATGCAATTAACAAGCCCAGAGAGGTTAAGTTCTTGTCCCAGGTTACACAGCAAAGCAAGTGGCAGAAGTGGATCTAAATCCAGGTCCTCTCAGCTGCGACATTCATACTTTTTAAAATTAATTGATGATAAACTATCTCAACCAAGCCAAATCGTGTGAAATAATGTTTTATCTTCAGCTTAAGAAATGTTACTTCAGGTGGTGCGCACCTTTAATCCCAGCACTCAGGAGGCAGGTGGATCTCTGAGTTCAAGGCCAGCCTGGTCTATAGAGTAAGTTCCAGGACAGCCAGGGCTACATAGAGAAACCCCATCTCAAACAAACAACAAAGAAACAACAAAAAAAAAAGAAAGAAAAAGAAAACCATGACTTCAGTTGCTCTATCTGACCCTTCCATTACAGTCTCTATGCTTTCCCTTTACACAGAGGCAGAATATATATATATATATATATATATATATATATATATATATCTGTGTGCTCTTTCACTATCTCATCAATCAGAGGTCCTTTTAGATGACCGAGGAGAACCTTCTCAGTAGCTCTGAAATCTGAGTGAACCACCCTGGGTAGATCTCTGCCTTTGTTAGTAACCTAAGCATCTTATGGACAGCGAGGCCAAGAAGTGTTGATATGAATGCAGAGTGTACGCTAGTCCTCACCGGCCTCTCCCTCTTACATACCTCAGGTCTGTACTGGCTGAAGATGGATGAGTGGCCTGGGCTGTGTGTGAGGAGGCAGAGATCAGTTGGTCCCCAGCTGGTAGGAGAAGACCAGAAAGAACCACAAAAGCAGAAAAGGAAGAAATCTCACTGCCCTAGTCTTTTCTGGCAACTGAGCTTTTGGGCTGAGCTGCATAGGTGTAGGCTTTGGGTTTTAGAGATCAGGATGCGGAACTTAGAAAGGACTTCTAGGTACAGCCGCGATGCAGGTACTTTCTGTCAGCCCAGGCCCAGGCTTCCCTGTGTCTTCAGGATTCAGTGTCCATGTCCACATCTGGTATAGGCTCCCACTGTGAGTGGCCAACTTCAGTGTGAGGACACATGTCTAGACACAAATGTATACCAATGCCGGGCATTGGTGATGCACGCCTTTAATCCCAGCACTCGGGAGGCAGAGGCAGGGGGGTCTCTGTGAGGTCAGAGCAGAGGCTAGGGTAGGGTCCCAAACACACCCAAAAAACACCTTTGGGGGGGGGGCAGGGGCGGGAGACAGCAGAGAGAAAAGGCAGAGTGGAAATGGCCAGGGGAATAAACCTGAGTAGGAAGTATCAACCAAGTGGCCTCTCAAATAAGAATGACAGAGACTTGCCGTCTATCTGGACAGCCAGCCTGTGACCCTCAGTGGTGATCTCAATGGCTTTGTTGGAGGCAGAAGTCATCGGTCTTTGGCCGCCAAACAGGGCAGCATCACCCCTTGGCCACCAGACAAGAAGAGCTGAGAGATTTTTTCTATGCAGGCAGAACTTGAACTGGCCTACTTTAATGAGGCAGAGAGGAGCAGTAAATGCAACAGTGTTGCAAGTCTGGCAGGGGTGAGGCATGAAACAGTTCTTTGCCCAGTGCTATGGGTCACCGCACTTGAATTAAGCTCTAGCGGGAGTCTGTTGCTGCCCATCTTCTTTGGTGACAGCCTCAGCTGCTGATACCAGAGCTGGTATTTTGTCTATCAGGGAAGACATTTTTTCATTAAACACGTTAAATGCCATATTCAGATCTCTCTGAGGTTTGAGGGCTGCCACCTAATCCATTAACTATTTGATTTGAAACAAACTTTAATTGATTTTAGTTCATGGCGTCAGGCAATGACCTCGACAACATATATAGAAGGCTAAAGTTTGTCCCTGTAAATGAACCTACATTTGTACTTAGCGTGACTACAAGCATTGCACTGAGTACATTAAAGATTTCAATCATTTATAAGGAGACCAACCATTAACTTGCATGTCCTTATTATCTTTAACGGTTTACAAGTCAGTAGCTTTTAGAAGATTAGGACCTTGCGGTTTTATCCCTGTTGAGTCCTAAAAAGCTTTAAACTGTAAATACAGTCCCCAGAGATACTACAAACTTTACTTTCCTGGTCTTTTCACAGTGAGCCCTTACAAATTAGCACAGTTTCTGGTATGACTCAGTTTATCCAAACAGCTAAACTTTACCAAAGTTAGCAAAGACAAAGAGGCTAGACAGACAACTTCAAGTCAGTTTTTGTTAGCCTGGATGGACCTCAGGAATTTATAAACCCTAATCATTTTTTAAACCATCAATGCTTTTTGTTATAGGTTTTAAGTTAACTTCTTTGTTACTGATTTTATAGGTTTTTTTCCTAAACCACACTCAAATGAACTTACAAATCCTGAGAAAAAGTTTAAATAATGGTCTTAGATTTTTTTTTCTTTTTGAAAACAGAGTGTCAAGAAGGCTTAGAGATAAAGAGATTTTTGAGATTGGGGAGTAGAGAAAGCTTAGAGGTAAAAGATTTGAGGATCATTTATTTGTGCAGTGGCAGAAGTTGTTACAATTTGATGCCTAGGCAGTGGCCACCCCATAGCAAAGCAGGTCATGAAGGGCATGAACCATAGCATGCAGGCTCTGCTCAACCACCCCTCTGCACTTTAAAAATAATTAGTTTGAGACAGGGACTCACTATGTAATCCTGACTGGCCTGGAACTCACGGAGGTCTACCTGTCTCTGCCTCCTGAGAGTTAGGTGGCATGAGCCACCAAGCCCAGCTCCAAAAAGTGTAGTGATATTTTGTTTGTGATCTAACTTGCCTGGAGATCACAGTGTGGAGCGAAGCTATTAGTTAGCCATAGAGGCCAGGTAGTGGTGGCACACACCTTTAATCCCAGCACTCATGAGGCAGAGACAGAGGGATCTCTGTGAGTTCAAGGCCATACTGGGCTACACTAGACTGATCCAGTCTCAAAGAGAAACAAAGTTCACACCTTGGATCCCAGAACTTGGGATCACATGCCCTTAATCCCAGCATTAGGAAGGTGGAGACAGGAGTGAAATGGCTGGGCAGAAAGAGGAATATAAGGCAGGAGGAGATAGGAGCTCATTGCATTCAGTCTGAGGATTCCTAGAGACAGGATCATGCATTCAGTCAGAGGATTCATAGGGACGGGATTGCCCCTTTTGTCTAAGGATTCAGTAGAGGTAAGAAATGGTGGCCAGCTGCTCTGCTTCTCTGATCTTTCAGCATTAATCCCTATATCTGACTCCGGGTTTTTATTATTAAGACCAATCAGAATTCACGCTGCAAAAGAGCTTCATTCAGGCCTGTTCTGAGCACAGGGAACCCATCATGTATATTCATGCCCATTGGCTTCCAGGCCATCTCTAGGGCAAGAATGACCGGGCCACAAGGAGACCCCAAAGCAAAGACCAGTCTCCGGCTAGACCTTAGCCTATCTCAGCCTCCAGGAAACAGGCTTCCAGGGCTTCTCCTTGCTCTGATTCTTGCCAGATCTTAAAGCCCTGCCCTTGTAGCTCTCTCCATTTGCATGAGGCTCCTTGCTTCCCCATGGGGGGAGGCATCATGAAAGGGGACTCCTTGAGCTTGGGGAGTGGAGGGGAGCTCCAGGTCTATGTGTTAAGCTTGAAGTGGCAAACCATAGGACACGGAGGAAGGGCTTCTGAATAGAGAGAAATGGCCTATTGATACCCCTTGAATCAGTTCCCCCAGACATGGGAAATTGACCTTCTTTGAAACTGATGGGAAAACTGAACATAGTAGTTCATGTCTTTAATCCCAGCACTTGGGAGGCTGAGGCTGGTTGGTCTCTGTGACTTCGAGGCCAACCTGGTCTACATAAATAGTTCCAGGACAGTCAGCCAGGACGATGTAGAGAGACCCCCAACAAAATAAAAAATGAAATAAATTAAAAAAAAAAACCTGTGAATGGAGCATAGGACCCCCAGAAGGCCCAGAGAAGACAAATGTCCAGGGAGATAGTTCTATAGAGCCCACCTGGATTCTGGGTTGTGGGAAAAGGAAGGTCAAGATTGTTTCTAACCCGACCTATACCTCTGTCCTCTGGTTAGCCTGCTGACATCTAAAGCTTAGAGTATGAAGGGGTTCTCCTGCTGAGATCAGCTGCACAAGGCTGACGGGATGGGATGTTAGTGGGGACAGTGCTGAGGAGACTCAGAAGTTCTGAGAGAGGCAATGAGACTTTGGGCCCCGCCCTAACCTGCTCTTCTGCCCACACCAGCCCCTCCTGCATCGTCAGACACCCCTCCCTGTAGCTGTATTATCAGTAACTGTCAGCGTTAGGACAGCCCACCAAGCCTCTGAACTGAGAAAGAGGTCCTCTAAACAGGGGCTAGAGAGAATATGAAGCCCACGTATGGGGGTGTCTTTCTAGACCTCTATTTCCGTCTTTTCTCTTTAAGGAAGTTCTATTTATTTATCTTATGTGTATAAATGTTTTGCCTACATGTATATCTGTGCACCATGTGTGCCTGGTGCCTGTGAAGGTCAGAAGAGGGCATCAGATTTGTTGGTGCATGAGTTACAGATGGTGGTGAGCTAATGTGAGGTGCTGGGAACTGAACTAGGGTCCTCTGCAAGAACGTTAAGCAGATCCATCTCTCCAGCCATCTGCCTTTCCTTCCCTGGGATAAAGTTCAGCAAAGTCTCCTCTGCCTCCCACAGCCAGGCTGTGGGAAGGACCTGGGCGTGGGGAAAGAACCATCAGGCATGGATTGAGTGTGCATAAAGGCAGATAGTAGTGTCCCTACTAAGGGGAAAATGTCACTAGGAACCACCTTTATTACTGTCTCTAAGGAGTCATTTTTGAAGGGGAGGGGATTCTGTCTACTTAGCCATCTGGATGGTACCTAGCTACGAGCAAAGTCCTAAAGAGGGCTGATTAGGACCTGAGTCATATCCCCTAACCCTGTCCCACCTCTAGTCACTCAGGAACCCTTGCTGGTCCACACTGAGCCTGAAGCTGATGGCATGCAGAAGGACAAACAATTAACCTAGGAGAATAAAGCAAACCTGGGTGATGAGGGCCAAGAGACAAACATGAATTTGCTGAGTTCAGAAGAGGAAAACAGGGCCTGGAGAGATGGCTCAGTCGTTAAGAGCACTCACTGGCTGCTCTTTCCAGATGACCTGGGTTCAATTCCCAGCACCCACATGGCAGTTTATAACTGTCTGTAACTCCAGGATCTGACACCCTCACACAGACTTACATGCAGGCAAAACACTGATGCATACAAAATAAAAATAA